ACTGGGAACTGGCACTGGGAACTGGCATCAGGATTGGGAGCTGCCACTGGGAACTGGCACTGGGAACTGGCATCAGGATTGGGAGCTGCCACTGGGAACTGGCACTGGGAACTGGCATCAGGATTGGGAGCTGCCACTGGGAACTGGCACTGGGAACTGGCATCAGGACTGGGAGTTGGTACTGGGAACTGGCATCAGGACTGGGAACTGGTACTGGGAACTGGCATCAGGACTGGGAGCTGGTACTGGGAACTGGCATCAGGACTGGGAACTGGCACTGGGAACTGGCATCAGGACTGGGAGCTGCCACTGGGAACTGGCATCAGGACTGGGAGCTGCCACTGGGAACTGGCACTGGGAACTGGCATCAGGACTGGGAGTTGGCACTGGGAACTGGCACTGGGAACTGGCATCAGGACTGGGAGTTGGCACTGGGAACTGGCATCAGGACTGGGAGTTGGCACTGGGAACCAGTACTCCTGCTGCTGGAACTGGGGTCACTACTGGGAACAGGGACTGGCACAGCCCGGCAGCGGGAAAAGCAACCAGTCTGGTGAACTGGGATCCAGGTCAAACACTGCCCAGGCACCAGGATCATGCAGGAAATGAGCCCATCAAGCAGCTGGGAAATGGGAAATCTCTGAGGATAATAACTGGAACAAATGCCTGTTCCCACAGCCGCTCTCCTGCCGTGACACATCTCCAAGCACCCACACTCACGGTCTCTGTAGCGCACCCCCAGCACGTCCTCGGGCTGCTCAGAGGTGCTCAGCAAGGTCAGGGGGCTGCTCTCTGTGGTTCTGCAGAAATTATGAGCTTGCAGATTGGGATCCAGCTCATACAGGTGTCCTTCAAAAAAATATTCCTGATGGTGAGGGGCTATATTTGTCTGTTTGAAGACGGCGTCTAAAAACTTGGCGGTACTGAAATGGAGAAAGGAGTGAAAGGATGGGGATAAGCAATGAGATGAGCACACAGATTTTCATTCCTTTAGCAGCCTGATGCCCTCAAAATATAAAAATTCTGATATTTTCTTAGCAAAATACCAGACAAGGTCAGCAGAGCCCCCAGGACACGCCCCGGAGCTCTCTGTGTGCCCTCAGCTCCCTTAGCACACTCCCAGCAAAGGCTGATTTGAGCCTGGTGTGTTTGAACCTGGTTTGGGAGCAGTACAAAGGGGAGCAGAGCCCCCAGGTTCCCCTGTTAAAGTGAGGGGTTGGTGCTTCTGAGCTCCATTCCCAAATTCACCTCCAGCCCAGCCTTACGTGTTGTAGGAGTGGATGTAGATGCGGTGGGAGGACGCCTGCTGCAGGGAGAACACGTCCACCACGATCCTGTGCAAAATGTCATTGGTTCCTGCAAAAAACTGGTCGAACCCCCAGCATTTCTCCTGATCCAACTCCAGGATATTTGCCAAGACGGGGATCAGCTGGTCCTTCAGCCCCCTGCAGCAGCAAGGGAAGAAGAGAGGTTTGCATGGACTGGTGTAACCCCGAGTCACAAACGCTGCCCTCACCCCCTTTTTCTGTCTGGAAAGCAAAGATCTGGTGTGAAAGCTGTGACAGCTGAAGATGAACAGTTTATCTGCCTTGCTAACCCCCCCTGTGCTGCGTGAGGACACGGGAGCTGCAGCCCCAGCAAGGGACACTCACGTGGAGAGGCGGCAGGTGATGGGCAGCTCGTAGCTCCACTCGATGTTCCCGTTCTCCTGCCTCTGGATCCCTGCAATGGCCCCAGGAGGCTTCTCCGTGGTGATTTTGTACCTGTGGGAAGGGCACTGCTGGCTCTGACTCGAGCCAAGCGAGCTCTGGGCACTGCCTCCCTCGGGTGGAGGGGAAGGGCAGAGCGTGGATGTGCTGGGAAAGATTCACTGAGGGAAAATAAAGTGCCCAGAGGGAAAATACTGCAAGGAACTGTCAAAAACCTTCCTAGTGAGCATTAACTCTGCCTCCCCTTGCAGCTGTTTAGCCAGGAGGTCATGGAAATGCATTTTATCCTAGGATTAGCTGGGTTGGAAGGGACTTTAAAGATCACCTGGTTCCAACCCCCTGCTATGGGCAGGGATGCCACCCATGCTCAGTGTCCCACCCAAGTGTCCTTTTTGGAGGGGAAAAGTGGCAGATGGGACACACACCACACCCCACAGGCATTAACTCAGGGCTTTGAGTTAAAGCAGCACTGAGGCACCAGCAGCACAGCCCCAGCTCCCCAGCCACGGCACCTACATGATCTCCTTGTTCCTGCGGGGTCCCCCGAAGGGCACGAAGGGGAGGCTGCCGGTGGCAGCGTGGTAGAAGGTGACACCGATGCTCCAGAGGTCCACGGTGACACCGAACGCCTTCTGCTGCGGCTTGCGCAGCACGGCTCGCTCGTACACGTCGGGGTGCTGGGGGGGAAGCACAGAGAAATGGGTCCTCCCAAAAATCACCTGTAACAGCTCTGGGTCCTCCCAAAAATCACCTGTAACAGCTCTGGGTCCTCTCAAAAATCTCCTGTAACAGCTCTGGGTCCTCCCAAAAACCATCTGTAACAGCTCTGGGGCCTCCCCAAAAACCATCTCCTGTAACAGCTCTGGGGCCTCCCCAAAAACCATCTCCTGTAACAGCTCTGGGTCCTCTCAAAAATCACCTGTAACAGCTCTGGGTCCTCCCAAAAACCATCTCCTGTAACAGCTCTGGGTCCTCCCCAAAAACCATCTCCTGTAACAGCTCTGGGGCCTCCCCAAAAATCATCTGTAACAGCTCTGGGTCCTCTCAAAAATCATCTGTAACAGCTCTGGGTCCTCCCCAAAAACCATCTCCTGTAACAGCTCTGGGTCCTCTCAAAAATCATCTGTAACAGCTCTGGGTCCTCTCAAAAATCACCTGTAACAGCTCTGGGTCCTCTCAAAAATCACCTGTAACAGCACTGGGTTCTCCCAAAAATCACCTGTTACAGCTCTGAATCCTCCCCAAAAACCATCCCCTCTGTAACAGCAGTGAATCCTCCCCCAAAATCACCTGTAACAGCACTGAATCCTCCCCAAAAATCATCTCCTGTAACAGCTCTGGGGCCTCCCCAAAAGCCATCTCCTCTAACAGAGCTCTGGGTCCTTCCCAAAACCATCCCCTGCCACAAATCACGGAGCCCCTCCCCTTCCAAAAGTACGGACCAGGCTCTCCAAGCCGCTGCTGCTCCCAAAGTCACTGTGGGATTGAGGGACAGGGACCGGCCTCCCCAGGGCCAGCAGCCTGGGACATGCCCTACTCACGAGGTACTCCTCTGTCCCATAGACAGACACAAACTTCTCGTCATCCTCCAGCTCTCGGGCGGCTCCGAAATCCGTCAGTTTGTAGATGCTCTGCCCGTCCTCCCCCACCAGCCGCATGATGTTGCCGGGTTTGATGTCCCTGTGGACGACGCCGTTCTCACGGAGGTGGTTCATCCCTGCCACTGCGGGGAAAGGTGTGTGGGGCTCGGCACCGGGCTCCAGCGGGGTCAGGTGGAATTTAGGAATGAGAAAAGGGCTGGAGAGGGGGTAAATCCCGCAGTGGTGGTGACTGGTGTGACTGGGGGCGTGGAGAGGATGAGGATGTGGCAGGGTCCATCGCCACAGCAGCTTCCCAGAGCAAGGAGAAGCCCTCAGCACAGAGCTCACCCTGTTCAGGGCTGCAATTTCTGACCCCTCACCCCATCGCCCAGGGCTGGTGCCTGCGGGGTCCCACCAGCACCACGGGGTCCCCAGCTGGAGGGTCCCAGTGGTGCTGGCAGGGGCTGGGGGTCCCCCACACTCACCCACACACTGCAGCACGATGAGGAACTCCGACTCAGCCAGGCCAAAGGCATTGGCTGGGTCTTCCAGCACATTCAGCAGGCTGCCACTGGAGCAATATTCCATCACCAGCACCTTCTGCTTGCTGCTGCCCTGCGGTGGGAGACGCCAGGAGGGCTCAGCCCCCTGTCCCTGCAGCTGGCCTGTCCCCCCAGCCAGGCAGAACCAGGCTGGGTTGGTCACCCCGAGGGTTTCCCAGGGGGTTCCCACTCACTGTCTCCTCCACGGCAAATAATTTGACAATGTTTTTGTGGTTCAGCTTCCGCAGCATCTCAAACTCTCTCATCTGGACCTCGTGGGGCCGCAGGTAGCTGGCATTGTTAAAGACCTTCACGGCTACCAGCTCCCCCGATTTCTGGGAAAAAAAGAGGGAAAAGAGACACGAGGAGATGTCATTGATGTGCAGAGCAGCTCCAGGAGCTCTGCCACGGCTCCCACACCCGGCTCGGGATGTAAATGATGCCTCCGTACCAGGACGGCACAAACAATCCGCTGTTATTCACCTCCCTGCTCTTCCTGTCCCTGCACCCACGTGCTGAATGTCGCTGTGTTTATTCGGCCCCACAAAAGTTCCCGTCCGGAGCCGGGGCTGGCAGCTCCCGAGGGATGGGGATGTTCCCAGCCCGCTCTCGCAGCCGCTCCTGCAGTTTGCTCAATAAACTTCAAAGGCTGCTGGGGAGGAGAGCCCCGCTCCAAGCCTGGCAAGTGTTTGCATGAACTATGCAAATGGCCAAGGATGGGGTTTTCAAAACCCCTGGGCATTCCCCGGAAAACAGCTTCTTCCCCCTGCGCCGCTCGGGAACGCGGGGAGCGGGACCCGGCTGGGAGAGCCCCAAAAGCCGCCCCGGACCCGCGGACCGGGGAAAGGAGCCCCGTGGAAAACGAAAATAAAACCCAAAGCAGCGCCTGAGCTGGTGCCAAGGCGAGGATCTCCCGGGAGGGCGAGTGAAGGGGAGCTCGGGCATCCCGGGAGGCGGGAGGGATGGGGGGCACCGGGGCTCTGGAGTTTTGGGGTTCCTGCCCCCCCAGCTGCCCCCGCTCACCTTGTTGCGAGCTTTGTAGACAGAAGCCGTGGCCCCCTGGCCCAGGAGGTCCTCGGTGCTCCACAGGTAGTTGGGGGTGCTCTGCATGTCCAGCGGGAAGAGCGGGGCTCGCCCCGGCCCTTGGCCCCGTGTGCCCGGCCCCGGCCGCTCCCCGGGCCCCCTCCCCGGCAGCACCGGCACCGAGCCCGAGCATGGACCGAACCCTCAGCGCGGCCGGGACCTGCCGGGGCTGCCAGCAAACCCCCGAGAGATGCCAGAAGTCGGGAGAGAAGGAGCGCGGAGCGAGCGGCGCCTCCCCAGCCCGGGAAGCGAAACCCCCGGATTGCAAAACCCGCCCGGCCGCGCTGCAGGAGGAAATGCCTCAGCTTCCTGCTCGACAGAAAAGCTGCCAGCCCTGCAGCCATCCCCCGGCACACCGCTCCTCCGGGAGCTCCGGAGCGGCTGCCAGCGGAGGTTTGGGGAGCAGAGCCGGGTCGGGATCCGTGTGCAGGGTCGGTGCCCAGCCCTTGCTGTCTGTGCTCCACCCCTGCACCGACACAGCGTCACCTGGAAAAGCTGACACTGAGCTCTTTGGGGTCCCTGTCGGGGGTGCGGGGTGGGGTGTGGGATCCAGGGTGGGATGTGGGACAGGGTGGGATGCAGGATCCAGGGTGGGGTGTGGGATCCAGGGTGGGATGTGGGACAGGGTGGGATGCAGGATCCAGGGTGGGATGTGGGATGTAGGGGGGGATACGGGATGGGATGAGGGACGGGTTGGGATGTGGGACAGGGTGGGATGCGGGACAGGGTGGGATGTAGGGTGGGATGTGGGATGGGTTGGGATGTGGGATGTGGGTGGGATGTAGGGTGGGATGGGGGATGGGTTGGGATGTGGGATGTGGGTGGGATGTAGGGTGGGATGTGGGATGGTTTGGGATGTGGGATGTGGGTGGGATGTAGGGTGGGATGTGGGATGGTTTGGGATGTGGGATGTGGGTGGGATGTAGGGTGGGATGTGGGATGGGTTGGGATGTGGGATGTGGGATGCAGGTGACACGTAGGGCACAGAGCAGGATGCGGGATACAGGATAAGGTGGGATGCAGGATGGAATATGTAATGTGGGACAGGGTGGGATGCAGAATGTGGGATTCAGGATGTGGGATGCAGGGCGGGATGTGGGATGCAGGACGTAGGATTCAGGGTGGGATGTGGGATGCAGGGTGGGATGCAGGGTGGGATGCGGGATTCAAGGCCCTCTGCTGCCTGCACCGGGCAGAGCGGGGCTGCTCCTGTCCCTGCTCACTCCGGCTTCACCGTGACCAGCTCAGCATCAAGGCCCCACTGTCAGGAATTACTCCAGGCTGGCGTGGATGTTTCCAAAGGCTCCATCCTCACCAACAAAGCCTCCAAAGGTCTGAGAGTTCACCAGCGTGTGCGGCATCGCAACACCGACACCACTTCACCAGCCTGCGCACAAACTCCACCCCTAATTATCCCTTAATTCCTGTTGAGCTTCATTTTCCCAGCCGCGGGTGGGAGCGCCTGGAAAAGCCTCAGAGCCTGACTGAGGGCACAGCCTGGCCCTTTCCCCGAGGTGATCCAGGGATGCCCGGGGCTGGGAAGGGGCGGCAGGGTCTCGGCAGCTGCGGGAGCGCAGTGACAGCCCGTTTAACCACAGGAAACCTGAAATCGCTTTGATTGAAGTCATTTGGCTGCAGCTCAGCTGACAGGAAGAGAAAGCGACGGGGTGACTTCTTGAAATTGTGTCTAGTTTTATTTTCTATGTGTCCTTAAAGCAGGGCCACCAGTCTGTCCCCATGGCCAAGCCTGGGAGTGCAGGGAATTCACCCACAACACCTCCCTGGCTTCTTCCAGCCCCATTATCCTTTCCTCTGCTATCCTTTTAAAATTCCCAGCTCATTTCCTCTCCATGGATGCCCCATCAGCAGGATTTTCCTCCCAGCTGACTCCCCAATCCCATCTGAACCCCAGGACTGGATGTGCCCACAGGGGATAAACCCTGGTGTGGTGGGAGAGCGCATCTGGCACAGGCTGGGAGAGAAAAAAACCCGGCCTTGAGAGCAATTTGTGACGAGAATTAATTGTTCCAGCTGGTGGCAGCAAAGCCCGAAGAATAAAGGACAAGCAGGAACCTCGAGAGCCCCCCGAGCCCAGCGGTGTCCCCACGGTGTCACTGTGACAAACCTGTGACATTTCCCTGAGAGCTGAACCCTCCCAGAGCTCAGCACGGCGTTTCTTTGTTAAAAACCACAATAATGGGGTTGGTGAGGGAGGCTCGGACCCACCCGTGCTGTGCTGAGGGTTTAAGAGGAAATCACAGCGTCTTCTGCTGACCAGTGCCCAAGGGAAAATCCAAAATCTCTTGCTATCCCTGCCACCTCACTGCTGACTCCTGTCTCATGTTTTAGAAACAAAAAGCCACCACCAGCGTGCCCAGCTGCCTCTGGGGTGATTTGGAGTAAAAATGTGATTTTGGAGTAAAACCATCCCGGATTTCCAGCTGTTCCCTACAAGAGATGTAGGACAGGGAGCTCAGGGATGCTCACCCCAGGGACAAAATGCCTCAGTTAAACATCAAACCTCACTGAAAGTAAGTCATTCCTTTGAATTTTAATAAAAGGAAGCCGAAATGACACAGCCCTGGCACGTTCCCCCTCCACGCTCTGAAAAAGGCCTGAGATGGGAGAAAATGATAACAATTATAAAAATGATAACAATGATAAAAAAATCCATAATCTCAATCTTAAATCCTCTTTCCTGAGACAGCTGGGGGCCCATCCTCTGCAGGAAGATGATGAAGATTTAGCATTTTTAGATCAGGTGGCTGCCAGGGAAGTGTTCACCCCAGGGAACCCTGCTGTGGTGGGTGTGTGCGAGCCCAGGCTGGGGGAACACGGAATCAGGGGTCAGTGGGGTCACAGAAAGAATGGTTTGGGTTGGAGGAGACCTTTAAAATCTCTCTGCATTCCATGGCAGGGACACCTTCCACTATCTCAGGGTGCTCCAGCCTGGCCTGGGATGATCCAGGGCCTGCCCACCCTCACAGGGAAGAATTCTTTCCCAATATTCCATCTAACCCTGCTCTCATTCAGCTTCAGGCCATTGTCTCATCACCACATCCTTGGTGTCCCCCTCCTCCCCGTGCCCACCGTGTGCTCCTGGCTCCTTCCTCACCTCCAACAACATTCCTGGGCATTCCAGAAGCCCCCTCAGACCACACTCCCCCCCTCTGTCCCTCTCAAACCCAGGACATCACACACCAGCACCCTCAGGTCAGTGTTTCCACCATACCCAAAACATTTATTTCTCCAAAACTATTGCTAATGACAATGGATACATTTTGTTGCCCCAGTATGGATTTAACACTTCCAACACATCGACTCCTAATACTGTACAATACTGTACCAAAAAGGGGGGAGGGGAAAAAAAAAACAACCAAACAACAACAAAAAAAAGGCTGTACCTCCATATTGTACAGAGTTCTATGTACAAAGTACAATTTTACACAGTTTAATATATACACCATATATATATTGGTGTAGAAGACATGAAACAGTGGAAACTTGTTTTAGCAAGAACACTCCATCCCACCATGACACAACCGCTGTTGACAACCCCAGGTTGAGACAGAAAACCACAATTCCTACGTTTTGCAACCCGCTTTTCCTGCCTCAAATCAGAAAATGGATAATTGGAGATCAGAGATGGATTTCAGCCATCGCCCCGTCTGAGCTACATCGAGCTGGGCTTTCGCAGGAGCTGCTGCTCACGAGTATTGCTCCAGCAGTTTGGCACACTCACGAGCCCAAGCCCAGGGCTTGGGTTGTTCTTCACGTCTCAGCCTGGAGGAAAGGCTGGTGGAGTCCAGGAGGAAGGTTACCACAGTGCCCACCTACGATTCCCGCTGCAAACTGCCCAGTGTTTACCCTGTGTGATGCTTGGCAGATCAAATATCAGCACGGCAGGAATCTGCCTTCCCTCCCCACCTTCGCCTCTTTTTGGCCCATCGTTGAAAAACACTTTCACCCCAAACTTCGTTAGAGGAAGCACAAAATTTAACAGGAAAAAAAAAAAAAAACCCAAACCAACAAAACCCTTGCATTTTCCAGGCCTTGAACTGCAGTTTTGGCATCTCTAGAACCACCCAAATGGATGGTTTGCTGGCTAGAACCGAGCCTGGAAAAGAATTCATCTGCCTTCTGGTGGGCGGAACCGCTTGTGCGTGACACAGCCGGGGCCATCCCGGCCCCGCAGGCACCAGGCAGAGGGTCAAGTATTTCTATTTTTATTTCTTATTTTCAAGTACCAGGTTGTCACACAGACACAGAGACACAGAGAGCCGATGTGGGAAGAGCTCAAAGCCCAAAGTTCAGTCCATGAAGTGCTCGGTGTTTCCCCAGAGCGTCCCTGGGGAAGGACGTTCCCTCCTTCCCACCTCTTGTGCTGCCAGCACTAAGGAACAGCTTTGTGCCCCCAAATGCATTCGTGGGGCGTTAGCCAAGGCCAGATAAGCCCAAAAAAAGGGCTGGTTACTTTTGTGAAAGCTAAAAATCTCGAAATAAATAAATCCCCGGCTTGCTAAGCTCGATTTTCTGTTCTGGACAGGCCCCAAAGCGATGGAAATGCCCCAGTGCTCCCGTTTTCCTGGGGTTTTGAAGCAGTTTTTGAGGCGGTTTGGCTCACAGGTGAGTTCAGTGTTTGGGGGACACCCCGGGCTTGGTCCTGCCAAGCACAGGTGCCCCTCACCTGGGGACACAGAGCCACCTCCTTCCTCTCCCACCGTGCCCAGGGGCCTGAGCTCAGCCTCTCGTGGAATCAAACCGTCCCAGTGGGGATTTTTGGGGCGTTTTCCCATCAATTCCCGATTCCTCACTGCGAGCATCACCTCCTGGAAGTGTCCCCTCCACACGGAGCCCCCAGCCCACTCCCCAGGGAAGGATCTGCGGTGCTCAGAAGCGGAGACGCCGATTTTTGCGGAGGAAAATCTCCCAAAAGCTCCGTAAATCCCCAAACCTACGCCACGATCCACTGGATTTGAGGTTTTTGACACAGAGAAGAAGAGAAATAAGGCAGCAAACTCCACCTGCAAGGAATTTCTCCTGTCCCAGTATTGCTGGAGCTCTTCCAAGTGCGCCGGGTCAGCCCCGTACCCAGTGCAAGGTGGGGAATTAAAACAGATGGGGTTTCTTGCCAAGCTGAAGTGTTTTGATTCAGTAAATAAATTTATGAGAACTCGGTTATCTTAACCTACTTTTGTGCAAGAACGATCTTGCCTTAAAAAAAGAAAAAAAAAAAAAAAATAAAAAAAATAAAAATTAAAAAAAAAATATTAACAAAACCTCCCAAAACCCAACACATGAGGTATTCAGCACAGGAAACCCAAAGACTCCTTTTGAACAGGTATCAAAATACAGACATATACAACAACTTTTTTTTTGTTTGTTTGTTTGTTCTGCTGTCACAGTGCACTCTAATTATTTACTCATTTTCATTGCAATAAAATACCCAGTACAGATAAACTGAGAGGGTTTGATTGTGTCCCACTGCTCGGACATGAAGGACAAATTTACAATTCATAAACTTTGGATGACCTCAGAGAGGCAGAAATTAAGCAATGGTTAAAGCACACTGCTCCATTCCCAACTAGGGAAATAACCCAGAAAAGGTCTGAGCTTCAGAAACCATTCAGATTGATCACCTAAAACCGTATTTTGTTTTAAAAGTGTTTTTTTGTTTTTTGTTTTTTCTCTTTTGGATTATTTCAATCCAACACCTGATGAACAAGGTTCATACAAAGCACTATGGAACAGACAGACGTAATTCCAGTTACCAAACACTTCTTTCGTCTTTTATATTTGACACAACAAAAGTCACGACAAGAGGATTTCTGTGGAAGAGCTAAAAATTTCCTCAGGATGCGAAGATGTGGAGTGCCATTTGTGCCTCCCCAAGCAAAGCACGGCGTGCTCCTCTCCCGGATCCGCAGGGAGGGAACATCCCCAGCTGCTCCTTCCTCCCTTTCCGGCAGCGACTGCTCACGAAACACTCAGGGCACACGTCCTCTCAGCCTTGTGCATTCACACAGCCAGGCTGACAAGCTGAAAAATCTCCTTTTCCCCCCGGTATTTCACGTGTGATTCTCCGGTTTCACCGCCCTGCTCTCTTCTGAGGAAGAGGAAGGACGAGCTGCAGCCTGTCCTATTGCTTGTGTCAATCACAGTGCACACCACAATTCCAGTTGAGTTGCTCCATATCCAGGTGATCCTGCCAAGCACCTTGGCAGCAGGATTGTCCCAGAGCTGTGGATGCTAGAGAAGCACAGGAATAATTCAGATACAGACAGTTGCTGTTACAGTAACCTGAAGTCTTTTTTATATATATTTATTTTTTTTTTTTTTTCGTTTTGTTTCCATCTAATTCCACACTTCAGACCTTGAAGCTGGAAAAGAGCAGCTCCTCCAATGTGCTGTGCGTGGCTGAACACTTAATTCTTAGGAATATTGAATGCTAGGCATAAAAATATAAAAAGAAAATAAGGCATTAAAATGAGGCAAAGTCAATTTACAGAGATCCTGCTCTTGACACAGATTAACTTCGGTCACTCGAGACCAAAAAAAAAAAAAAAAATAAAAAAAGAAATCAAAAAAACCCAAAAATTCTTACTAAAAAAGGAAATGCCAGAAAGTTCTGCCTGAGCAAAAAATTACGAGTTTAATCATTTTATTTCTTTCTTTTTTCCCCAAAATGAAGAAGTGATTCCTTGGTGGTGGAAGTCCATCAGAACCTGAGAGCAAAGGTCGCTGGTGGCACTGGTGGCATCTCCTGGAGGGGCAGGGACAGTCACGCTCGTACCGTGGGGCTTCCCCAGGAAAGCTCAGGAGAAATGGGGAAAGGAGAAATGTTCTCACCAAAACCTTCCCCAAATTCTCACGTGTCCTTCATGCAGGGCCCAGGGGAAGCTGGCTTTTTTTGGAAAGTCATTAATTAGGGATTGATTGCTTCTGTAGAGAGGGGGATGTGCGTGTGGGGATGGACAGGGATGCGCGAAGACCCCGTTCCATTTTTCCAAGTAACATCCTAAATGCATCAGGAAAGGACATTTCAGCAACTCTTCTTTGCTTCTTCTTTTTTCACGTGCCAACTAAAGTGACTTTGCAGTCACCAGGAACCCAGAAACTGAAAGGAAACTCGGCTTAAAAGGGTGAGAAGAATGACTTTCCTTATCTGGTCCTGTTTGACGGAAGCCTAAGAGGTGCAGCTGGTCTGAAATCCTGGAAAAGCCGAGGAATGAGGCGAGCTGGGGGTCAGCCAGTCTGCACTCCTCTCAATTATTAAATTAAATTAACGCCAGAGAGCTCCTGGCGGAGTACAAACGAGTCCGTGGGTGCTGCTGGCTACGGATAAATACAAATAATAGCAAAGAATTCATTCACAGGTCAGTCCTGCGTGGAGCAGGAGGGAAGCCACTCCAGAGGTGCTGTCACCTGCCTGTCCCCAGCAGAGCTCCCTGCACTGCTCTATAAGAGCAGAGGTGCCCAGGGCAGGACAAGGCAGGGAGCTGGAGAACTCCTGAGCGGAGTTTTTACTGTGCCTGGCGCTGGGCTTGGGGTCAGGATCTGTCCTGAGGAACGGGCAAACCAGCAGAGTGTGAGTTGGGGGTGGGGTCCCAGCAGAGCACCTCCTTCTCAAAATGATCTGGGTTGTGTTTTTCGTACATTCAGTCTCCCGGGAGCAAACAGCGCGTCAGAGCCCACGGGCTGAAAGTGACACTGGAAACGAAAAAACTGCTTTTAAATATGGGAGAGCAAAGGGGGAAACCAGTGAGGATTGTCCATAAGCAACAACTGGGCTCTTTCTTGTGCTCCCAGCCCTCAGGAACGTGTTTGTTTATATTTGCACAGACACATCTTACGTAGAACTCCACAAAATCTACGAGTGTTCCAGAGTAAACTGTTTTTTCCATGACAACTAAAGCATGAGGCTGGATGGCCAAAGGCTTTGGCCCTGAGGGGGAGGAATGGGGAGCAAACAAACAAAACCAGAGGATGTGATGGAAGTCGAGACAGACCCTTAACCACCGTGGCACCAGCGGGCGAGGGAATAATAATAATAATAATTATAATTATAATAATAATAATGCACAAGAAACAGGCATGTCCAAGCTCCACGTAACCAGTGGCACCAAAACATGCAATAGACTAAAATCTATCCTATTGTTTCCCTGTGGTAAATGAAACACAGAATATAGAAGTCACTACACCAGTATCCAAAAACAGGACACCACCAAATGTTCCTTCCAGCGGCCGAACACTTGAACAAGGCATCGAAACCAAATTCCAGCTCATCCCTTGGTGTTTTCCTGCTCAGCTTCACAGTGGATCGTGGATTGTGGATTCCCCAAGCGTGGCAGGAGCTGTCCTGGGGACGTGGCACGAGGCTGTCGCCGCTCAGGAGCAGCTCACGACCCACCTTCAGCCCAAGCGTTCGTTAAACAGGAATTTTAATGTCTTTGACAGAGTTCTCTTCATCTGGAACAGCAGGAGTTGTACCCAGAGAGCAGCAGGGGGTGGATCAGACAGTACAGGACTTGTCAGGGGGCTGCTGGGGCGCAGAGGAGGCCACGCCGGGGCTGGTGGCGCTGGTTTTGGGGAACACGGCGGGCTTGGGCCGCGTGGCCGGCGGCTTCACCTGCGTGGCCATTTTAACAGACTTGACGGGCCTGAAGGTGCAGGGAATGTCCCCAGCCGTGCTGGCACTGCGCTGGAACGGGGGCTCAGCGTCCTTGAGCAGCTGGGTGTGCAGGGGGCTGGAGGGCTCCGAGGTGGGGGCCACCACCGGGGACGTTTTCAGGGGCTCCAGGGTGTCGAGGACGACGTCGGGCGTGTGCTTGACGCTGCTCTGCCTCTCCAGCTCCCGCAGCTCGTTCAGGGCCGAGTTCATGGTGGCTTCAATGTCCTGCAAGCACAGCAGAGGAGCCCGGTGAAGGCACGGCCCAGACACACAAATAACCAGACAAAAGGCAGATTCTGAGAACATTTTTGTTTTCTAAACACCGACCTCGGGTCAAGGACCAAACTGTGCAGCGCCGCATCCCGCGGCCAATAATCACTAACATTTTCCAGCAACGGGGAGCAAAATAATTGCTAGCGCTGCCTTGATGCTAATCTGGCCCTTCACTGCTCCTGATGCTGCCCAGGCTTCAGAGAAAAGCCCCAGACTGCAGCAAGGAACAGAAACCAAAGCACCAGTGCCCATTCTTGCGGTTTTGTTTGGCACGTGAAATTCGGGAGAGTAAATTCCTGATGGCCTGGACATCGGCTGATGGGCCACACACTGAATGTTGAAATCCTCGTGGATTGTTGGTTTTCCTGCTGAGTTGTTCCCAGAAATGTATTTCACAGGACTCAGAGTTTTAGAAAACACGGAAGATGCCAGAAACACGTGTAGAAACCAAAACTGGCCCTTCTCCTTCCTCTTAAAAAGTATTACAGCTATTAACAGATAAATACAAAGAGAACTTCTGAGCTAAAACCACGGGGTTTTTGTCTCAGGGCATCCACACTGTCTGCTGGAGAGTCCAGTGGTGCACAGAACTCCCTGGGGAGCAGGAGAGCTCAGCCTGGCTGTGACTCACACTTTTGGCTGCAGCTTTCCAGCTTCCTCAGAGCTTTTTCAGGGGGTGGGGAAGGTAAATCAGTCAAGGGATGGTGGAAGAAAGCAGAGGCAGAAATCTGACACCTCCCACTCTATCTTGAGGCCAGGCAGATTTTCCCTTGTGAAGTTGGGGAAATATGTAAGATGGTTATTGGATGGTGTTCGAGCAGATACTACAGAGAAAAACTCTGATTTAACACAGCTTGGGTTTTTCTCCCTCCTCTTTTTTTATTTATTTCCCCCTCCCCTTTCCTTTTTGTCCCCAGACTCTTCTCCAGTGAAACAATGGAGCGAAGGTTCTGGCAGGGAGAGGAGACAGAACAACTTCAGTCAGAGCCTAATTGAAAAAACAAAGAATCTGATTTATATCAACCAAAGCCTCGGAAGGAGAGGGAAACACCAAGACAACAGGAGCTGTTCACTACATTTTCACTGTAACAATTGGGCTCAGGGTACTCAAAACGGCAAAATACAAACTCCCATCAGCATTAAACCCATCGGGTTTTAGTGTGCCCCTTATTTATGACTTTATTATGATTTTTGTCAATAAAAATCCCGTTTGATTGTCACGTATTTCCCCCCAGCTCCTTAGGAACCTGCAGAGCCCCAAGCCAGGCAGAGCAGTCGGGTCTCCCAGGGCTGGTTTTGTAATCCGAGCCCGGAGCATTCCTTGGCTCCAGCCAGAGCCATCCATCCCACCCTGCCAGCAGTGGGTACAGAGAAATGCAAGTGCAGGCAAATCCACCCGGGAAAAGCCCTGCTGGAAGAGGGAAATGGGTAACTTCACACCTTTTGGAGCCAGCCCCGACTTCAAGGCCCTTGTGTAAATAACAAACTCCTGAAAACCAGCAGGGCTGCACTCAGAGCTGGTCTCTGATCACACCCTGAGCCCTGCAAGATGAGGATGCCACAAGTCAGCAGCCTGCACGGTTAAATCCACAGTAAATACTTCATTTCTCTCATGTCCTGCAGTTATGACTGCTCAATTCTCTGCTGACAGCTCTGGAATCTGTGTCACTTTCTGAAACGGGTGTTTTTAGTGTTGAGATTAAATTCTGGGTAACGAACAGAGCCAAGTTTTAACGGAGGAAGGACCTGACTCTTTACCTCCCCTCAGGAAAGCAGCGCCTTGCACATGGAGAGGATGAAAACCCAGACTGGGGCTGTGCCCTGAGTTAATATCGCACTGAGAGAATCACAGAATGCTTGGGGTTGGAAGGGACCTCTGGAGTCCAAGCCCTGTCCAGGCAGGGTCACCTGGAGCAGGTGACACAGAAACTCATCCAGGTGGCTTTGGGGTGTCTGCAGAGGGGGAACTGCACTCCCTCCCCGGCAGCTCCAGGGCTCTGCTGCTCTCAGGGACAGAAGCTCTTCCTCACGTTGAGGCTGAACTTCTTGTTTTATTTTAACTTTTTATTTTATTTTAATCCGTGGCTCCTTGTCCTGCTGCTGAAGAAAGCCTGGCACCATCCTTGGGGATATGGATGGGATTCATGGGATGGGATTCGTGGGATGGGATTCGTGGGATGGGATTAGTGGGATGGGATTCTTGGGATGGGATTAGTGAGATGGGATTAGTGGGATGGGATTCGTGGGATGGGATTCGTGGGATGGGATTCATGGGATGGGATTCATGGGATCCCCTCTCAGCCCTCTCCTCTCCAGCCAGGCCCAGCTCCCAGAGTCTCTCCTGATCCACAGGATTCCCTCCTGGGGAACAGACATGGGATTAAACCACACCTCGCACTCCAACAGCTCCTGCACCCACATCCCCGAGCTCCCCAGGCAAACCCCTCGGGGCAGAAGCCGCTGCTGACCTGTGCAATGACCTCGGGGTCCATGGGCCGGTGGTTGTTGAAGCTCTTGGACCTCCCTGCCGTGACAGCCTTGCGGATCTGCGGGCTGTCCATCCTGCTCTTCAGCGACGAGTGCCGGCTGATGGAATTGAGGCTGCCGTGGCCACTGATGGAGCATTTGTCTGGAACCTCCTTGGGAAGACTTTGGCTCATAATGGGCTGAGATGAGGGCCTGGAACCGGCTATGGCTCCGGGGGAGGCTGGTTCTGCCAGGGAACTACCTAGGCCGTGGCTGTCACTTTGACGGAACGCTCTTCTGATGCTGCCTGACTCTGGTTTCTTTCTTTGCCTTCAGTCACAAAAGCAAAACAAGTCAATACAAGCAGGTACAGGGCTGTCATTTGAAGATATCCCCCCAAAAAACAACACACAGGACAATGGGAAGAGACACAGAGGAGCCCAGATTACAAACAGACCCGGGGGGTTGAGGAGTGATTGCGGTACAGTGAAATAATTATAAATTATGAATCATTCCAGTTTCACGCTTCTAACAACAAGACTGAGTCCTGGCAGCTGTGCACATTCATAGCAAAACCAGAAAACTTGGGTGGAAAGTGATTAACTTGGTCAAGAGGAGAAGAATTTATACTGGAACAAAAAAAAAACAAAAACCAACCAAAAGAAACAAACCCTCTGTGCCATCGACAGGTTTTGATGATGTGTTTTTATTACATTCCAAGAGCAGAGCTACAATCTTTGACAGTATAAGTCTACTAAGCTCCTGGCCCAAGGCATCAAGTTATTATTTTCAGAGATCAGCAAGCAAAGACCCCCAGTTTGGGGCTAATGATCATTTCCAATGTTTGCTGGTGGTAAGAGATGGTTCTTTTTCATGGCTTTGGCAGGACCACAAGGCATTATCTATGCAGGGCTACAGATAAAACCAAAGGGATGATGTCAAATGGATGAACTGGTCCAAAGAATTTAGTTTCTGCCCCAGCACCATGAGGTCTGACAGCACGATTCCACTCAAATCATGGGAAGGCCAATGCAGCAGAATACTTTATGCCATAGGTCTGAAGCTTGGCATCCATTATACAGGGAAGGATCCATTTATATATATATAGCACCAGCCCCATGAATAACTGCAAGAAAGTGTTAACTCCAGTAGGATTTTGGCATCCAAATAATAATTCAGTGGGTGGCACAACTGTCATTGCGAAACCATCTGATTTAATTTTGCTCAAGTCTGTTCACACATAGGTCAGGAGATTCATTCCTAAAGAAAAAACAACAAAATGAGTCTTATGCTACTTATTGCTAAATATCAGGTTCCCTAGTAAAGGGGAAAAAACAAAACAAAACAAAACGAAAAAACAAACCCAAAACTGGAGTGGACATTCCCCAGGCTTCTAAAAACCACTGCACACAACTCTACCAAAGCCAGCAGATGGTGAAGCTCCAGCACAGGTCTGTTATTACACAAATCTCTCCATAACTGCCAGAACAGCCACTCCAGTGGCTCAGACAGCAAATATCATAAAAGAAAGCCCAGATCCCAAGCTGATGGAGATTAACACGGCTTCCCAGATATCACTGGAGCTCTGCTGAATCCCAGAAGGAAGGACCAGGCTCTCTAGGCCATGAGCAGGGACCAAACCTTTTAAAAGGATGCATTTGTGTTAATGCCTTTATAGACTACATTGTGTTAAATTAACTGAAGGTTAAGAACATCCCCTCCCATCAAACTGCAATTATCACATAATACCTTCACTGCACAACGGAGAGAGGTGGAGGTTTTTAACATGAAGGAAAATAATCAGAAATATATGGGGGATAAGCCTGTCTAGGAAAAAAAATGATTGAACAGATCATGGAATTTAGTCTGCTCCTGGCTCGATTCTCCAGCTTTTTGTTATGTTGAGTGTTGGCTAAAGCAACGATTTCTGGTGGAGGAGGCAAGGTTAGGGCAACAGGGGGTTGTGCAGTTGCACTGCAAGCATATGGTTAGTAACCCGAGGTGAGGAGCGCTGCAGAAACAAAGGAGTGCTCCAGGCAGTGCCAGATGGAGGGACTGCAGGTATGGCATTTATCACAAACTGGGACACGGCTTCCTGCAGGAATTGTCCCCCCACCCCACCCAACAGCACGTGGTGAATGTGGAGGAGACGTGACAGATGACAGAACACGAGGAGGGATGGGGACAACGAGACGAGATCTCAGCCCAGCGCTCCCCTCCCTCCCTCTGCCCGCTCAGAGCACGGAACAGGGCGGGTTTGGGAAAGCAGGACCAGATGGCACCTTGGAGACAGGGAACAGAAACCAGGGGGGCTTCAAATGAGCCACGGCCACGCCGGTGACAGAGAGGGGACAGCAAAACATGAGTTAAGAGAGGGGGAAGCAGAGAAAAGCGGTGGCAGTGCTTGTTAATGAATCTTTCTCAGGGAAGGAAGCATCTCACTGGACTCAAGCTCTTGACAGGCAGGGAAAACAAAGCAAGGCTGCTCTTACTTGTTGATGTTTGCAAGGTAAATATCCGCGACGTGGCCCCCGCTCGGGCAGCTGGCACCGGCTCTGGCCGTCACTTTCTCCTCCGGTGGCTCAGAATTTATTTCTATTTCCGACTTCGGACTGGACCTTTCCGACATCCCATCCTCGCTAGGAAGGAGGAGGGGAGGGTGTCACAACCACAGCAGGGGCAGCAGGGCTGGATTTGCAGTACAGCTCTATGGCAGCACGGTGTCATTCCCACCCCTGAATGGTCCCCCTGGAAGGGATCCTAATCGTCTTGTCCCACCTCCCTGCTGTGGGCAGGGACATCTTCTGCTTCCCCAGGCTGCTCCAAACCCCGTCCAGCCTGGCCATGGGCACTTCCAGGGATCCAGGGGCAGCCCCAGCTGCTCTGGGCACCTGTGCCAGGGCCTGCCCACCCTGCCAGGGAATCCCTTCCAATGCACCCAGCCTAATCCTGCCCTCCTGCATCCTAAGGCCATTCCCCCACGTCCCATCACCCCTTGTGGAAAATCCCCTTCCTCCTGAGCACCTGCCTGCCGTGATCACTCTGGAGATGCCAGCCGTGCCCCTTCAGCAGACACCACACACCAATCCTTTCCTCCCCCCTCCACCTCCCAGCGCGTGACCAGCCGAGCTCTCCGCGGCGCCGTGGCCACGCAGCCCCGTGCCAGGGCGGCTCTGGAGGCTGCAGGGGGGCACCTACGTGTCCTGCACCACGATGTACTGATGAGGGATGAGGCCGTCGATGCCGTTGTGCCGTCCCTCCCACCAGTCGTCCGAGGCGCGCTGGTACAGCAGCAGAGACGCGCCTTTCTTGAAGGACAGCTCCCGTGCAGTCCTGCCCAGGTAGTCAAACTTGGCTATGGCCTCGATGGGCTCGCTCTCTAGGAGACAGGAGGGGATAAACAAACACCTGAGCAGCCAGCACTTTAAACCTGCCAGAAAGCAGAGCAGGAGGGGGACAAACTGCTCCTTCTTCAGGAGGGTTGGAAGCTCAGAGGGCTCAGAGGGGAACCCCTGAACTTAAGGATGCTGCACCTTTCACCCTTTACCTCATCCCTGCACGGAGACACATTTTTATTTTCCAAGCCCTAAATGCCCCCACACAGCAGTCCAAGCCAACAAAGATGGAAATGGCAAGGGCAGAATTAGGGGTTCATTAAAAACAAAAGGGTTTCAGGGGTGGGAAGCAATCAGGTACGTTCCAGACAAAAATCTGCCCGTGGTTCACTTCCTTAAAAGCAGCTGAAGTGAACCCCCTGGGCAGGCAGGGGAGGGAAACATCCTCTCATTCCAAGCTGCTTCAGAAATAAAGCATTCAGAAGGAAATTTCTGCTGCCTGTGAGGCTCACCTGAGGCAGGAGAGCGGAATTCTGGCACGGTGGGAGGCCCTGCTGTTCCTCCAAGGGTCATGGAAGCAAAGGAAAACATCCAGGGCCTCCAGAGCCGGGCTTGGTGCAGGGCTGAGGACACAGAGCATCCCTGGGATGTTCTGTGCCCCCTCCTGCAAAGCTCACACAGGAGCTCCAGCCATGCCCTGCCACTAATCCAGGTCCCTGCAGGACTCTGATATTGTACAGAGGCACAATAAGGGCATTTAAGACACTCAGGGAAATCAATGTGGAATTCCCGTGGATTATTTTTAAGGCTCTGAAAAAAACCCTGCCACTGTTGGAGTGTAAATGTGTATTAAGGCAGCTCCTGGTTCTGGGCAGGGATCAGGGGAATGGAGATGAGCTCAACCACACAGCCCCAGTGGGCTCCCTCTAATTACTTTAAAGGAGCTTTAATGCAGCCCAGCAATCCATGGAAATGGAGTTCTTTCCTGGAGAAAAGAGATTTGTGGTTCCTCTCCCCTGATCAAAGAGAGATCTGCTACTGCACACAGAGATCTCTGCACCACAGGAAGCTTCAGTCTACAGTGCAGGAGAAAACTGAAACGGGCTGGAAGGCCAAATACCAGGCACAGCTTTTCCAGTTATTCCCTGGGAGAGGATATGCTCCAGAACCGGCTCTGGAGCTGCCTGTAGGCTGCAAGGTGGCAGCAGGGCTTGGGAAAATAATGGTGTAAATCCACCTGAGGCAGCTGGAGCGCCTCAGCCAGGCTGAGGGAGCAGAGCAGAAGCATCTCCCCCCCAAAAAGCCCCAGCAGCACCTGGAATTACCCAGCACCAAGAGACCGAGGGCAGTCAGCCACAGGATCTGTGAGACCCCTCCTCCACCAAACCTGACAGCTCAGAATTCCCCCAGGTAAGCCTGTGGTCAGACTCACACAAATCCCATTTATCAGCCCTCAGCCAGGGATTTGGAAGGGTGGGAAAAGCCTGGCCCATGCTGGCAGCTCGTGGCAGACACCCCCAAGCACGTGGTTATCTGGGCTTGGCTCCTTCCTCCCTGCTTGTTCTGCCAGCTTGTCCTAACAGCCCAAAACCCCAACAATGCTGGTTTTTGGTGTCCCCCTCTATTTAGGAAGGGGATGGGAGTGTGGTTTGGTAAATTCCATCTGCTTCATTAGCAAGTGTTCGTTGTTCCAGATGAGCGTGGCACTCAGGTTTCTTATGTTTTCAATTTGCTTTTTAGGACTCTGGCTTTTCTCCAGAGGACTGATTTTAGACTTTAATTTCCAGTAGCTTTTTCCTACTGACACTTATGCTCAGAGGAGAAAACTGTGTGAATGAAGAGCAATAAGGCTAAGCCAAACAATTCCCCCTGCCAGTCTGACAGCTTGGGCAGACAAGCAGCAGATTAGAACATTTCCACTCGTATTTAACAAACACACAATCCGCTTGTCTTTCAGCAGTTCTGACCTCTCATACCTGTCTCAAATCCGTTCAGGGAGGCTGATGAGCTGCACAGATGCTCTGCCAAACACAAACTCTCCCCTCAGCCCAAAATCCCACCCAGAGGTGGCTGGGATGACAGCTTTACTTTGGGAAGATTAATCCCAGCCTCCCCCAAAGGGTTTTTAGGAGGTTTGGTCCCATCTGAAGACAGAAGGAGAGAAAAGCCCCAGGAAGCTCCGTGGTGGAGCTGTACCTGCACTGCTGAGAGGTGTGAGCAGGGTGTGACACTGCACAGCCCAATTAGCATGAGACTCCTTAATTAACCACGCACTGTTGCTCCCTCAAAGAGCCCCAGCCCATCTGCCTCCTCTGGAACATTCCACAGAGGCTGCAGGACTCCATCCAGAACACCTCCCAGCTTTACCTTGCTCAGGGGCCACAGAGCAGTGTCCTTCTCTGATCTCTGCTCCTTTCTCACCCTTGTGCCCTCCCAGTCACCCAAAGATGTAAAATCCCCAGCCACAGACAGCACAAGTTCAGAGGAGGGTGCAGCACAGCCGTGGGATGGGGTGGCCTGTCCCTCCTCACCATCCAGGTGCTCCTTCTCAGAGACCCAAGCTCCAGCAGGACACATTTCCATGCGTTTTTCAGAGCTCCCACTTGTCAAACAGAACACTCTCTCCAAGGCAGGGAGTGACCCTGTGGTTCATTCCCCAAGGATCTGTGCTTCCCAGCCCTGCAGAGGAGCAGCAGTGCCTGGCCTGGCTGAGGGAGAACTCATTTCCCAGCGTCTCCTTTCCTTCCTCACTGCTGTGTGAGCACCAGAGGCTCACAGAGAATGCTTCAGGTTGGGACAGAGCTGTGAGATCAGCGAGCTGTGAAGCCAGTGGGAGCCAGGGGAGGCTTTGTTAGGCAGCTGCTGGAGCAGAGAGGCAGCACAGGAGCACCTGGCAGGGCCATTGAGCAAATTCCTCAAGGCCAGCTCAAAAAGGAGGATGCCCAATTTTAAGGGAATGCTGTTTCCCACCTCTGCAGTTGAGGCTGTGCAAGTAAAACCACCCCAGAAATTCCACAGCTGCAAAGGGTCTGAACACAAGAAGAAAAGCCTGTCCTGCCCTGGTGGTCAGCCTGCTCAGCATGCCAGGGATCATCGTTTCACATCACTCCTTTCATCCCTCCTCTGCTCTGGATGGGGCCCACAGGATGTTCCCCGTCCCAGGAGGCTCTGGAAGCATCAAGGATGCTCACAACTGCAGTGTCACTTTTTCCTGAGGAAATATCCTGGAATTCTCAGCCTTGGTGCCTCTTTTCACTGATCAGGCAAGAAATGTAACTGAGCTTCCTTAAGGAAATCTAAAAATTATCTCTGAGAGAGGCCCTCAGGATCCTCTGCTGTAAAGCCCAGATCTCAGTGGAAGACAGGCAGGTTTGGGGTTTGCTTGCTCCCTTAAAGCCCTGGGGCTTTGAGCACTCACAATTCTCCTTCCTGAGCCACTGACTGTGCCTGGCACAGGCAGAGGGGCGTGGGAGAGGACACTGAAACACATCCAGCCTGCAGCTGAGACCCCATGAGAAGAAGGGACACGCTCAAAATCACCAGGTAATTCCGGAGGTTCCCACCGATCCTACACCTCCATTCTGCCACCAAACGCTGCCACGTGATGCTCTGAGTGACTCAAACTCCACTTTGGATCTTCAAACCTCCAAGGGCACAGCCTTCCCTGCCTCCCCCAGTGAACACCAGACTTCCCATACCATCGTCACTGGTGTGGTGCTCGGCTGTGACGTCCTGCACCGAATCCTCTGCCAGGGCTCTCTCTCCGTGAGGGCTCTCACTGCAACAGAAGGGAACAGCTTTAACTGCTGGCAACTGAGATCCCTCATGGCCAGCAAGCAGACAGGGCTGGGAACATCCTGGAAAGTAATCAGAAAGAGCTGGGAACATCCTGGAAAACAATCAGATAGAACTGGGAATCCCCATCAGGAGTTTAGGTTTTGCTGCTACAGACACTTTGTGGATGCGTCTGCACGTGCTGAAGTGGCTGTGGGTAAAAATCAAGCTGAATTCTTGTTTGATCAGCCAAACCAAACGTCTTGGTGACCCCCTTGTGAGTGCTGTCAGCAAAGTCCAACTCCACATCTTACAGCCTGGACCTCTGGAGACGCTGAGCACTCAGAGAGCAGTGCCAGGCTGGGTCCAGCTCCTCCCTGCCACGCCAGGATTATTCCCTTGGCTGCATTCTCCACTGCTCTAATTAGCTCATTAGATGGCTGATGAGAAAGCTGCAACTTCCTGGGGGAAATCATTCCTTGATTTATAACGATATTTCCAGGTCTGTGTTTGTCATCTCCCTCCATCCCTTTTATCAGCACCATAAATGTCCCATTCATTTCCCTGAACAACTCCCACAGCCCAATTAGTTGCCTGTAAATAAAGATTCCAGAGCACCTGAACTACCAGGAGGACTCATTTATGTTTGGCATGAAGAAAAGCTTTGAAAGGATCAACAGACAAACAAGTGGCAACCAAAGGTTATGTTTTTGTAAGAAGCTCCACGAGCAGCTCCCTCTGGACAGGAGCAGAAAGGAAACTGGAAGAGGATCCATTGCCTCTCCCAAGCAGCTCCACAGGGCTGCTGCCAGCTGGCAGCCCTGCCTGCTCCTCTCAGGAGGAAAAAAAGGGCTAAAAAGCAGTGCTTGCTCTTCATCTTACACCAGAAAACTCCTTTGCTGCCTTCTCACACCGTGACTCCTTCAAGGGGATTTTTAATCTCCTTCACACAGGAGTGATTTCATCCCTCATTTTGGCCCTGCAATGGTTAAAATTAAGTGATGCTGGCTGGACAGTGCTCTCCCCCTGGCAATCTACCCCCTGTGCTCTTTTAAATACGAGGAAAACAGAAAAAGGAGAAGGGGTGAAACATCTGGATAATTCCGGCGTCTCCTTCTGCTTAATCCGCAGGACACCAGGCTGCCCAGCATCTCCTGAGCCAGCAGCTCAGCCATCAACCTTCCCCATCCTCTGCAGAGCCTTTGTGCTCCTCAGCAGAGCCTACAGAAGCCTCTGCAGCCAGCTGGAGGCCCCAGGAGGAAGCAGCACTGAGGGCTGAAGTTTCACCCAGCCTGTGAAGTCATGTCGAGCACAGCCAGCGCTCCAAAGCCGGCACAGAGGCCACGTGCCTCTTCCCAGCCATGACTGCTGAAGAGCAGCGTTTCCCACCTAAAAACCTGTGCTTGCTGCTGGCTGAGCCCTGGGTGCTGCTCTGGGAAGCAGTGACAGCAATAAATCCTGCCAGAGGAATGGAGTCGAGGAATTCCCAGCAGGGAATTGAGGGGCAGCTCTGATCTCTGCTCCCCGTGACAGGGACAGGAGGGAAGGAGCCAGGGGAGGTTTGGGGGCTGATCAGGGAAAGGTTCTTCCCCTCTGGGGCACTGGAAAAGGCTCCCCAGGGAATAGTCCCGGCCCTGAGGCTGCCAGAGCTCCAGGATAAGGCTCCCAGGGTGGGATTTTGGGGTGTCTGTGCAGGGCTGGGGGCTGATCGATGATCCCTGAGGGTCCCTTCCAGCTCCATCCCTTATCTCCTTCCCTGATATCACCCCCCAGGACATCCTGTGTGTACCAATGATCCCTGAGGGTCCCTTCCAGCTCCATCCCTTATCTCCTTCCCTGGTATCACCCCCCAGGACATCCTGTGTGTACACCCACACTGAGGGAACTCAGCACACTTTGTTTCCCTTCACCTCATGGCACAAAACCTCTTGTCCAAAACGATGTGTTTCCTGAAAGCCAGAAATATTACTAAGTTGGGGTTTTTTTCCCCACCCCTGCAATTCCTTCATATAAAACATCAGCTAAAAACATCAGAGAGGGGGGTGAAATTAAGAGAATTTCCAAAAGGTTTTGGCAAGTCCTCTGCACACAGCAGTGAGTTTGGAGGAGCCTCGAAACGAGGAGTGATCCCACAGCTCCGAGACAAGCCAGAGAAACAAGGCTTGCTCTGTCACCACAGTGACTTCATTAAAAAAAAAACAACAAAACTATTTATTTTAGTCCAGGAAAATAATCCTTTACATTGCTGTGATGCTGAAGGAGAGCAGGAGCAGTGGGGGGAGAAGTGGGACACAAATGAACATTCCTGATGCTCAGAGGGAGGGATCAGCTCGGCCAGGAGGAAAGCAAACCCCTCCTTTCCTTCCCCCTCTGCCCAAGCTCCCAGCCCAGATGACAGGAGCCTGAATTGCTTCCAGATGTGCTCCCAGACTGAGCACGTGGAGCCTCTGGAGCTCGGGGCTGCATGGAAATGGTGATTTTGCATTCCTGCCTCTTCCCTCCCCCTCCAGTGGGGCTGCCCTGGAAATTAAACGATGCCACAGCCCTGGAGCTTCAGCTGCAAGTGACCCCTGTGTCTGAAGCAAAGGCACTCCACACAGGCAGAGAGAAAAGGCAGAAAAAAATAAAGGAAAAGAAAAACCAACAAAAAGATTGATTTTGGCAGCTACCAAACCAGAACATCCAAGAAAATCCCTCCACAACCTTGCCCTTCAAGATAAGTGAGCAAGGTTTGACAGCTGAATAGCTACTTTATACCAGCTTATTTCTTTTAAGCTGATGACTCTCTGGAGAGACCAGAGCCATCTTTGCTGCTATAAAACAGATTTCTGAAATTTTGAATTTTTGAAAGGCTGGGCCAGATGCTGCAATCCCAAATTAGCCAACACAACTGCAGCATCCTAACCCATGGATAAACAGCCACTCATGGCTCTCCTCAGAGCATCCATCATACCAGTAATCCTCTGTGTTTCCACCTCTGCTGTAGACCGGGCCCTCCAGCTCCCTGGGTCCTGGGAAGATGTTCTCATGTTGGATGATGATGGTTTTGATCAGTTCATTGACGTGAGCCTGGCACGAGACCTGGTCGTGACCCTCGGGCACAGACATCAGCGTGGGCCCAAAGCAGATGGCCAGATTGTAGGGATCCATCATGTTCTCCTCACTGAACTGAGATAAACTGTGAAAAAACACAGGTGGGAAGAAGGGTGAACAGCAGAAATCGTCATCTTCATCAGCATCCTCTGCTCGGAGCACGCAGCTGGGCTCGGGAGGTTTGCTTTGGGCTTTCTGGGACACAAATGTTCTGGGTCCAGGCAAAAAATGAGACACTGATGGTATTTACTGAGAAATGAAACAGAAACTGCAAAGGTTTGAAAGCCTGAAAAGCTCTGGGTGCTGAGTTTAATGTCTGACTTTATTTTTTCTCTGTTATTGTTCAGAGCCCCACCTGCAGCCCAACTCAAGGCCAGGCTTACAGCAGGACCCCCCTGCCACGGATTTAAACTGAAAGAGAGGAGGCAAAATGAGATATTGGGAAGAAATCCTCCCTGTGAGGGTGTCCAGGGTGTCCAGAGGAGCTGTGGCTGCCCCTGGATCCCTGGCAGTGCCCGAGGCCAGGCTGGACGGGGCTTGGAGCAGCCAGGGATGGAGGAAGATGTCCCTGCCCTGTCCATCCTCAATAATCCCATGTTTATCCCAGGCCCTGCAGCAGAGCCCTGGTGCTCCCAGGGGTACTCACTGATTGAGGAATGCAAAGAGGTATCTCATGACAATCAGGGTGGTCTTGGGCAGGTTCAGCAGCACCTTCCGGATGTGCAGCGCTCGCTCCTGCAAATTATCCATGGCTGGAAGGGAGAGAGAGCACCAGAGTCACCCCCACAGCCCCAGTGCCACCAGTGCCCCCAGTGCCCCCAGCTCTGCAAACTGGGCAGCCAGCAGAGCACCAGCAGGACGGGATTTGGCTGCAGAAGCTGCTGGCAGCGCCTCTGCCAGAGGAAGTCCCCGAACACGTGGGACCCTCAGTGCCAGCGTGGGAGCTCTGGATGTCACCTGGGCAGGGGCTCTGGCACAGGGGCTCACTCAGGGCAGCTGGGAGAGGTGGGTGTTTGAAGAGGAAAAGCTGTGTGGCACTCCAATTAACATAGTTGGAGGTTGAGGCAAAGGGCTGCGTGTGCAGCGCCCGCTGAGAAAGCAGTGGGCAGCATAAATCAGCTCAGAAGGGAGAGCTCCTCCGGGGGGAAGCGGATTTGGCTTCTCAACAGAACATGAATCCAAGTCTGGAAATGCATTTATCAGCAGCAGAGAAGCACAGGCCATTTCTGAAGCTGTCTCCTCAGTAATCTTCTGCCTCTCCCTGCAAAGGCCATTTCTCTGCCTGGACAATGGAATCATTCTTCAATTCTGGGGGACGTAGCAAGAGCCAGGCCACTTAAAAACGAGGTTGTTCACATACAGAAACCACAAACAACCCTCTGCCAGGCAGAAGCACCTTCAGAAACCATGAAAAATGTTAACAGCTCGGCTGTGAGTGCCCTGGTGATTGATATGCTGGAGCAGGAGGCAGTGGATGGTCCCTGGTGGGGATGAAGCTAAAAGGAGTATGAATAAAAACTACCTTGTCAGCTGAGGCCAGCACACAGGAGCATGGCAGCAGATATCCAGGGAAAGCACGCAAGGCAGGGTGCCCTGCTGCTGATCCCTGCCTTGGAGAGGGCATTTCTGACATCCTCTGATGACAGCTCTTCAAGATTATTTTACACAAGTGAGGGTTTTTTTGCTTTATTCTCTTTTAAAAGAATCCTGTCACAACGCACTGTCTCACAAAACCCCATCTCACAGCCCTCAAAATCCATGAATTTCTATCTCCTTGTCCATCCATGTCAGAGCAAGGATGGCTGTGAAAAGGTGACAGCCCAGGCTGGATAACACAGACCAGCCCAGCAGCACAAACCCAGCCAAAGAAACCCCAAAAACTCACCCTGGAGCCAGGAAAAAAAGGGGAAAGGGAAGAAAGAGAAGTGGGAGATGAGAAAAATGGATCCAGTTTCTTTCCAGCTCTTCATGTACTTACTGACACAGGCAATCAGGTCATGGAAGATGTCCTTGGGGAAGAGGGGGTGCTCCAAGCCTCGGAAATAGAGCTTGAGGACTCCTGCTATGGAATCCATGTCGTGGTCGTTCTGGTCCCCAGCCAAGGGATCTTCCCCTTTGGAGCAAGGAGAGAAGGACAGAAAAATCAGAAATCACTGGAAGAAAAGGATTTGTGTTAATGGCACCTACCCCAGCTGCACTGCAGGAGCGAGGCAGAGAGAGATCCCCGGGTGGGAGCGCTGCCAGGAGCCCCAGGACACCTGGACAGCTCCAAATGTCACCAGAGCTGACACCCACGGGGGTGTGGTGCAGCACAAACACCTCAGGTGTTCTGGGCAGGTGGGAACAACACAGCTCCAGCACCTGACAGGAGGAAGACCCAGAAAATGCAGCTCAGGTGGTGCAGGGGACACCCAAACATCACACACCTGGCCCAGGTGGTGTACAGGACACCCAAACATCACACACCTGGTGCAGGGGACACCCAAACATCACACACCTGGCCCAGGTGGTGTACAGGACACCCAAACATCACACACCTGGTGCAGGGGACACCCAAACATCACACACCTGGCTCAGGTGGTGCAGGGGACACCCAAACATCACACACCTGGCTCAGGTGGTGCAGGGGACACCCAAACATCACACACCTGGCCCAGCTGGACACCCAAACATCATACACCTGGTACAGGTGATACAGGGGACACCCAAACATCACACACCTGGCCCAGCTGGACACCCAAACATCACACACCTGGTACAGGGGACACCCAAACATCACACACCTGGCTCAGGGGACACCCAAACATCACACACCTGGCCCAGATGATGCAGGGAACACCTAAGCATCACACACCTGGTACAGGTGGGAGCAGACACAAGGGATGAGGTGGGGGAAGTGTTTCTGGGACAATTTGCTGCTGCAGATCTGCCACGGTTTGTCTGCACTGCCAAAGGGAAGATGCTCACTCAAGGAGCTGCTCCCCAGGGAAAACTCCCTATCAGACATAATTAGATTTAATGATGGGGCAATCCTCAAATTGGAGCTATATATATCCATTATGTGACTGAAATTACCAGAGCTTGACTATTATCTTAATAACGCACGGGATAATAAATGGGCCACTCCAAACCTGGGCATTATCCCTGGTATTAACTGCCACCAAGGGCTCTGGATGAAGTAATAAACTGCAGGGACCTTGCTGTTAACTTTGGCAGTCCTCTGCATCACAGGTTTTACAGAGACAAGTGAGATGAAGGGAGAAAAATAATCCTCTTTCTTATTTCTGCGTGGGACAAGAGAGTATTTCCCCAGGCTGGTATTTCTTTATAGGAAGATCTGATTCTGATGCTTTTCCTGACTGTGACACACATTCCTGCCTCCTCTGCTCCTGAGGATTTTCCCTCTCAGGTAGCTGGGGACAGGTGACATCACCCACCACACGTCGCTCATTAAACTTCTCTCACCCCCAAAAGCAAAATCAACTCGCTGTGCCTAATTAATGGCTGCCCCTCTCCTGCAGCAGCAAGCAGAGGAAAACACTGATCCAATTCTTTGGGAACACAGATTCCAGGGATTAACACAAGCCCTGTTGTTCCCAGTGACCCCAGTGTTCCCAGCTCCTCTGAACCTGCTCTGCCAGGGAGAACAGCCCAGCAAGGAGCTGATGAGTCAGGAGGCTCCCAACTGCTCCCTGCCTTTCTATGGAATTGTTCTTCCCAGAGAAAAAACCCAATCTATTAAAAGCTACCTCGAATTAACACTCTCTTGAAATTTCCCTCCCTCCCTCGATGGTATTTGGAATAAATGTAGCCAAGCTGTGCCTCGACAACATGAAAAAAAACCATGGAAATTCATCCTTCCAGCACACAAAGAGCTGGGGGAGGGGGGAGGAAACTGCAGTTACACCTAATAATGAAATCCTCTATGTCCTTTAGTGTTGCAAACAATCAATAAACTATCAGACATGAGAGGAGATTGAATTCAGAATATTTATTATACAGCCACTCCACAGGGTACAAAGCACAACAGCAAACAGCTGAGAATTCAAGGTTAATGAGCAGCAGGGAGGTGTTTGGGAGAGCCTCAATCAGGAGACACAAAAATCCCAGGAACAAAAAGGAGTGAGCAGTTGTGAGTGTTCACACAAACCCAAAACTTGGCAGTAATTTCTGGGATATTGGGAGAGCTCTTCCTTACCTCTCTCAAATGCGTTTTTGATGTCGTTGACTTCAACCTGTGACCCAGACACTCTGAATATTCCTTCGTGCTGCAGACCTGTGGGAAAACAAGATAAATTAGATAAAAGAAGATGGCACCTTCAGCAGCTCCTGTAATCAAGGAAAAATAAGAACACAGGCAGAAGGATGCTGGTTTAAAAGCCACCTTTCCCTGACATGTCCAGAATATGAAAAAACACGACTCAGCACAGGCAGGAAAATTATTAACCCTTCTAAAGTGTCAGAGTAACAGGGCTCTGACAGCCATTCATGTTATCTCTCACCCTGGAGCATCCCCAGAGGATTTTACAACCCAGAGGAAGTCATAAACCAGCGGTGGAGCAGCCAGGAGTAAAATACAACCGATGCCAGGAGGAAAACATTTAAAACGTTTAAGAAGGACTCAGTTGAGTCTGTTGGAAAATCGAAGCCAATTCTGGAATCTGAGTGAAATCAGCATCTCCTGATGGCCATGATTTATCCCCCATCAGTTCCCATTTTCGTGTGGTTTCAAGGATTTTTCCAGAAAATATCCAAGTATGGCCTTAAAGGAGGATTCTAGAACTTGGTCATTCCAATATAATAACATAAATAATTAATAATAATAATATAATAATATATAATAAGATAAAATAAGATGATGAGAATGGGACTCCAGATTCTGGTTTCTAAAATAGGAATGGAACAAGGGAAACAAACAGGACCTGCTAAGCTGGCCCTGCATCTTGGTTAATAAAGACAGATTCCAGCTCTTTCCACACGTGTTAATTAACAGCTGTTTCACACGCTACTAACAAATGATATCAATTAAAAATGAAAACAAATTGCGATAAATGCACAGCATTTAAGGCTGGGAGAGGTCAACCTTCCAAAGAGGCATAAATCATCTCTCTGTGGCAGTAAGTGAGCAATTAATTCCCTGCTTGACCTCCTACATTCAAACACTCCGAGCGTTCCTCCTCCTCCTCGTGAAGAGGATGATTGTTCCTGGTGAAGGCCACGTTTCAGGGCTCAAAGGAAGGTGAGTGGAGGGGAGGAACGAGTGATGTGGATGGATGGGAAGCTTATTTTGCAGGGAATAAAGGGATATTGTTGGCAAAACATTTGTAAGGCCAGTTATTGGGAGCAGTCATCGCAGACACCGGCAGTGCAGGCAAAAATAAACAAAAATCAGAGCCATTTTCCTTCTGTGGCAGCTTCAGCACGTCCTGAGCCGCTCTTTCGAAGGTTTTTATTTTCTAGGGAGGTTTTTATTTTCTAGGAATGGCAGGGGACAGCCTGAGCCCAGAGCAGAACTCACCGTGCCTGCTGATGAAGCGGATGCAGCTCTCCACCACCAGAGGAATGGCTTGGGAGGAATCCTGCCCAGACAGGAGTCACAGCAGGAGCAGGCAGGAGGGAGAGTGAAGAGAAAAAAAAAAAATTAAAGAATAAAAAATGAGAAAGGTCTGACTCTGCACACCAAGATCACAACTTGCTCTCTTTATTCCCGAACTCCCAAGGCTGTGTGAACTGGAATTCCCAAACTTTGACCTTTACAGTATCAACAAGAGATACTTTGGGTCCTCCCTATCTCAAAGAAACGCATTTTAGCTCACTTGGGTACCAAAAATCAACAGATTATCCCCAAGGCCAGGGACACAAAGCCTGGCTTTGTAAATCTTTATTACAGGAAGGCACAACAAGAGAGCAGTTCCAAGTTTAACAGGGGGATTCCAGGGAATATAAAGGGAATGGAGACAAAGAAACAACAGCGTTGATCCCATAAACCACCACTGTCCAAACAGCTCGAGGCTGTTTGGGAATTTTGCTTCCAGCTCTGTCAAAACACAGAGTAAAAGCAATTTAAAATTTTGTCATGGAAAATGAACGAGGTTTTGGATCCAGGTTTGAGGGATTTCTCAGGCAAGACTGGAAAGGTCCATGGAAGACAGGGAGGGAGAAATAAAAATTTGTTTTCCATCATTCCTCCTCTTCCCACACCACATCCCTGCCTCGTTCCTGAGGGAAATGGGGATTACCTGCTTCCTCACGGTGGAGCTGCGCCTGCCACTGGTCCAGGGGTGCAGGAGGGAAAAACAGAACACAAGAGTCAGGATAATCCTCCACCATCACCAACTCCTTCCTCCAGCGCTCCCAACCACGCTCTGGAGCAGGGATATCCCAGTCAACCACAAAGCCAGAGCCTCACTCGATTTATGGAACTCCAGGAAGATTTTAAGTGACTTTAAATCACTCAAAACCTGCACGAGGCGCAAGGGAGCCCTGACAGAAGATTACCCCTGACACTTTAATTCCGATCAGAGGGAATTCTGTGATCCAGGGCTGCTTGCTGGAGATGAAGTTTGATATAAATTGCGCAGGGAAGAGCAGGTGGGAGCAGGCTGGTTCCCCCTGTGCTGTTAACAGCTGCCACTGAGGAGTCTTTATTACAGTTTTGATAAGATTTCAAATAAATAAATAACACAAAACCCACTGGAACACCAGCCCAGGCTAAGCCTTGTGTGTCTGCTCTCATTTGCTGGTGTTGGTAGACCTTAATGGCAGAAAAATAGGAAAAAAGCCCTGCTCTGCCAGGGTTTTTCCCTTCAAAATTTACTGCTGGGGTTTAAAATTCCTTTAGTTTCTTGTAAAAATGAAGCAAGGGAGATAATAGCAGAGAGGCCCTAATGCATCATTCCAGCCAATTCCCTGCCAGGGCAGATGGCTGCTGAATTATAAATAAGGGGATTAGAAGTGTGATTTTTAAAAAAAAAAAAAAAAAAAAAAAAA